TGTTCTCATGCTGTCATGCAGATTTTTATAAGTCTCTTGTCTGAAGCTGGTGTCCGCGAAGTAGTTGAGGGTTTCTCAAACCTTGTGCCCCTCCCTTAAACTTCGTCCGGCATGTAGATGTCGATGGCGGTGTCGTCGTTGTGGGCATTAGGGGGTGGATGGCGCTGCTGGGCGGACAGGCGTAGCAGGTCCGGTCGGCGCCGCTGGATGGGCGCGATGGCTCGTTCGAGGTCGCGCTCGCCGAGCTGGTTGATACGCGCGATGCGTTCGGAGCGTCCGCCCTCTCCCCATGAAGGTGTCCGCGTTCGTGTGCCGCTCGGCAGAGGTGTGCTTCTCAAGCACGGTCCAGGTAGTGACAGTATGCATGATGTGGCCGTCCGCTGCATCGCTGGCATAGGGCGGGTCCTTGAGGCCGTCCTCCAGTGGGTGGCCGCGGTTCGTGTTCCACGGTCAGCTGGGCTGGGCCGCCCCTGATGCGCCGTCGTCCTTCGTGGCCCTGTTAACCACAACCCCGGCCCCCATGTCGTTCCGATGGCGGAGTGTGGTGACAGCGTTGTCCACGAGGCATCTAGGTGGAGAAACAAAAGAAGCAGACGACATGGGTGCTTAGTTGAGGGTTGAGCCTGACGTTATTTTGGCACCCATTCCTGAAACGTCGAAATAACGGATTTTCCCACCTGTTTGCGAGGGAGGCTGCGAAGCCTCGAGCGGCGTCACTCAGTGGGTGAGTACGCCGGAGTACGAAATCTCCCACCTAAAACGAAGGTCACGTCGTCCTTGGTTGTACTGTTCAGACTGCTGCACTCGGGCGACGTCGATATTTTCTCGGGACCCTCGATGGTTGTCGGAGAAGCGCTTTCGCAGGTCCTCTGCGAACTTCATGTAGGGGCGAAGCCCTTCTTCAGTCTTTGTAGAAAGGAGGATGTTAAAAAGTGGAAGCACAAGCCCCTTGCCGATATTCCATTTGGCATGAGCGAGACGATAAATAAGAATGTATATTGCCACAGCTTCTACGCAATGTCAAGGTGTTTGAACCCCATCGGTATAAGTCTTTATTTTATCTTTTGCGGCTTGCCTGGAACAGTTTAATATAATTTGAAACGTATCGGTGATTCTGTTGCACAATGTTCTATACTGCGCAGTCTGTGTAAACGAGCTTGCGACTGGAAAGATTGGGAATGTCGCCTTCTGTCGACGATGCAACAGGCGTGGTACTTATCTCCTTAGTTTATAGGCATATGTTTGCCCAATCAGACATTCATTTTTTTATTTTTACATTCATTCTGCCCTTTTTATTTGTGAGAATATTAAGGTTTCTTCTCGTAAAGCTAGAATTTTTCTTTTTCCTTAGAAAGCTTCGATTCGAAATTTCGGTCCTTGTCCGACCCGGGAGTTATTTTTTGTGGTTTCTCGGTATTTACCAAAACCATGAAACCCTACTCCTATCACAATGACGATTTTCTAGTGCAAAGGTCATACACTTCTCTTTGACATTTTCGGAATGATCGCTGTGATCTTTCTACGATGCGTAAATGTTGACATTAAGGTACTTTATTTTCACTCCTCTGTGATTGCCGAAACGTAGACTGTATTTGTAATCCGTACGTCCGGCACAATAGAAAATAGACGTTTGCACTTTTTACAAACTAACTCTCCACAAAATATCTGCTTTTCAAAAGGAAAGGTCAAGATTTGCGATCATTGCACCTGAAAGCCTGCAGTGTTTTTGCAGACTTGGTGACTTGCTACCATGGGAGTTGTGTGATTGGCGCACGTGTAAAGGTTTTTGTGTTTTGTCTTCGTTTTCTTCTTGTAAATTATATGTCATCGCCTGTCCACCCATGTACGCTCCTTCTCTTTGTTCTTGTTTTATAGCGCTGTTGTTACCGTAATCATGTACACGCGTTTCGAGTATACCAAAATGAACTTGCTGATATTCACTTTTTTACCCTTAAAAAAAAGTGAAGACCTTTTTGAAAAAAAAAAGAGTTAATAGTTTATTCTGACGTGTTTGTCCCTGCTGAGTCCAAATATCAGAACCGTTTGACGCGAAATAGTCACTTTAACGCGAAAAAAAAACAAAAAAAAACCAACAGAAGCGATAGCCGCGGCACGACATGGCTATATTCACGCGTGACGCGCGACTACGTCATAAAAGGTCCATCTCGATTCTCGCTTGCTCCGTCACTCGCGGAAATAGTCGGGCGCCGAGGCTTCTGCTCTTGTAAATCGGGTTCGGCTTCTGATTTTTCGAAATCCTTCAGTGGATCCGAAAGGAGAATGTATCCAGAGGACCCTCTACGCGACAAAGTACTCGTTCCAGCCGTTGGCAAAGCAGAAAAATGACCCTCCGCGGTAATACGGGAGACACGAGGAACCGCTTGCGCCGACGCGACATGGCCGGCTTCATACGTTCTGGAACATACTGGCTGCTACTTATTGTAACGTACAATGTTGACAATAAACGGTGTGCTATTGACGAGACGCATGAGGCCGGACTAGCGTGACCCTCCCCAAAACGGCAATCAGAGGACAAGAATTCGGCACACATCGGCCTTTATGATTGGCAGCCGCTGGACACGGGAGTGTGCAGACTGAATTGTTCAGCAAGGTCGATGTGGCTTGAAGGGATAGTATAATGAACTTGGAGCGACGGGAGAGCTTTCCCTGAGATGCGACAGGTGATGAGACAGGGTCGTCGTTCTACCAGCGCGATAAGGTCCACCCATGCTAAGTTGTAATTGTTTGCCAACAATTATTATGCAATTACAACTTTAGAAAAAGCGCACATATGTGCCCGGCAGCCTTCAGTTTTGATGTCGAATTCGTGAAAGCTTCCTTGGCCTCTACATTCACACACCCCTCCCAATATTTGTTGACTGCATTAGACCTCCACCAAGCATTATCATCTTCCGATCGAATTTGAACGGCACAAAAAACCATTGCATGACACATTATCTTTACACAGAACACACTGCGTAACTTGTAAAAAAAAGAGAGATAATTTACAACCGAATGTCACATGCTTTGTATCTCCAAAAAGCGCTCCTGAAGAAAATATGTAGGTACCCATGGAAGGAAAATTCAAGAAAAGTAATGTTTACTTTTAAAAAATATGGAACCTCAAATAGTATCAGCAACTGAAAAAAAAGTCCATGCTAAAGCAAGTTCCACCGTGAAAGTCTCCCAAGTGACTGGCCAGCGGAGTAGATTAGAAGACTAAATAAATCAATCTTGGGTAGCGGAGTCGCGCAGGGAGATATGATCACTTCAACGATACAAAAAGAAATCGAAACAAAAACACTAATATAATAAGGTTAGCACAAAAGAGCCAGTGGAAGCCCGCTATTTGGCTGCATGATCGTGGCTTTTCCAGTACACTGTACTAACGTAATTACTTTTTTCTACAACAGTCAACCTATAATTAATACCTAATGTCGTCTCCACTCTGCGTGTGCTTTGTAATTCGCTCAATTGCCTTCCTACGCTCAAAGATGGTCGGCAAAGCGCCAGGTTCAGGCGAGCCTTCTTCAGGCCTAAACCCATACGTGTGTACATTGTTCTCATATGCGCCGTCCGGAACACGTTCCGAACAAAAAAACAGTGTACTGGACAAACTCGCCTGTTTGCATAGAGGGAACCCATCCCTTCAAAATCTCGGTGTCTGAGTGAAAAAATGAAAGCCGTTTACAATTCCCTGTAAAGCCAGTTAGAGCGCAGCTCTTGAGGAGGAGGATGGAAGCGTACTGAGGGATAGGCGACTCCTTGAGGTCACGTGACCTCAGGGGGGTCATGTTACGTCAGGGGGGTCACGTGACCTCGGCGGAGGGGGGGTCACGTGACCACAGATGGGTAATCTGACCTAGGGGGTCACGTGGCCTCGGGGGGGGGGGGGGGGTCACGTGCCCTTGGGGGTCACGTGACCTCGCGGTTACGCCGACGTCGACGCCGACGGCAACATCGACGCCGACGCCGCTCAAGCCGGAAACGGGCCCCTAAGAGCTGCGTTTTAAAAGGTGGTAAGCGGGAAGAACAACTGCGACGAGCGCTGTTCGCGCAAGCCGACGGCTACACATGAATACGGCATCGTGCAACCGAGAGAGCCAGTTGCTTCGGCGCCACGACAATTCCGCAAACCCGTGAACAAACAAGAGGACAATCAACACTTCAAGCGATTGAATCAATAGCGCGACCGGTGAACGGATAAAAGCAAGCTCTATGCGGCGGTAGACCGACGACGGCTCGAAAAGTCACTACAGTAGCCTACGAGGGAAGCGCGGCCACCCGTTGCGGCGCCCCCCAGCCGGACCTTTTGTGACGTCGGCCTGACGGGCCTTCCTCCTCTCTCCCCTTTTTCTCCGCTTCGGAGGCGCGTGGGTTCAACGATACTCTGAAGGCGCCTTTCCGTTTAATCATTGCGCATAAAATGACAAAAAATTTTATATTCGTGATGGCTAAGGTCTTATTAACCAGGCTGGGGTGATTTTACTCATATTTTAAACCGCTTCAACTTCTCTTTAAGCTTATTCATCCGAACATGACAGACGAACACCATTCGGTGTAATTAGATAAAAAAAAAAAACAATTAAGTGCTTGGACATTTTCCCCGTCCAGATGGTCTCCTACATTTCTTGTCATAATTCAAAAACAGTGCTTGTTCGTTTCCCTTTTTTCTAAAACATTTGAAGTGATATTTAAACTTTTGCCACTCTGTGTAATCATTGACATTAAAGTTGTGCATTCCCGCACGAAAGGTCATCATTTCGCGAAATTGTAGCGCTGATGCTGTTGATTTCCGTTTACTGACCTTAGCATTTTGGAAGCATACGCATAGCAGGTGTAGTCTGACAAAAATGAAAAAAATCACTTTTTTTAAGCCCGTAAGGACATAAAACAAATATATAATATCGGCATCAGCTAGTATCTTTCCATTATTTAGCAGGACTGAACCTACTAGCGCTAGTGTGAGAAAGCTTAGGCAGGCTTTCAGTCCCAACAAAATGAGTTTGCTGAAAGTTACTTATTTATGCATAGCGTTATTGATCAGCCCATGTTACACCAACTCTTTTCCCGATGTACCGAGTAAGTACGTGAGCGATAAATGCAAAGAGGTAGCTGAAAGATTTGTCGTACCAAAGGTTCCACTGGCGTACAACAGTGCACTTTTTTGCATGTTTCAAAACCTTGAGGTGAGTGCTTTGAGTTTACATAAATATTTAAATTGTAATCTAGGCACAATTACAATGTCTATATTAAAATAAGGCACCCTATAACCTTGTTTAACCTAAATAGAAATTTCAAACATTTGTGCAACATAGTTGCATACTGACACTAAAGAAGTGACACACCTATTAGCGCAGAATTGTTGTTCGCGCTTTCAAATTCAAATTTTGTTGCCTTTTCCTAAATTGTAATTGATAAAGTTAGGCGCCACCGGCTTTCTTTTTATTGTATAGTGAGTACGAAGGAACCTTTCAAATGCAGGATATATTAAGTATTTCAAAGTACTACCTCCAGATCTTTTAATAGTATCGAGCAAACGCCGACCGGTCGGTAGATTAGCGCCTTATCGTGGCGTAAACGAGCAGGTCACCAAGACTTCGTGCGTGTGACAGATGGCACACAGCTAGCCTTGGTGACAGCAAGTCAGCAAGACTAGCCGCGTGCCCTCAGTCACACGACAGATGTAATAAAACCACACGCTTGTTATGTACCTTAGACCTAATTTGTTGTTTTCCTTACTTTCCAAATACCGTGTGTAATGTGTTCCGAAAGGTTATCATGAATATTAATAATAATAATATTATTATTATTATTATTTATTATTATTATTATTTGTTTTTTTTTATTTTCCTTGTTTTCTTTTCCTTCTTTTTTTTGTATTTTCCAGTGGAGGGTCTGGTCTCACAAGTCCCTGATGGCTTTGATCGGACCCGACACTCAACTGGCTATTCCGGCACTACTGAATGAATTTATTATTATTATTATTATTATTATTATTATTAGAGAAAGTGTGTGAGGCTGCCCGCTCAATGGCCTTTAATCTGCACAAGGCGATGGAATCATCTCAAGCGATTGCTTGATCGCCGCCATGGTCGTATTTTTGATCCTGTGGCCGGTCTCGTCTGCTTCCGTGTCCCGAGTCAACTTCCGTGTTAAGCAAAATATATCTGTGCATCTGAACCCGCCTTTTTCGTGTAAACTTTAGTACTTCCTCATCGGCGCCGTTTTGGTCGTGTGTGTTGATGTCAGTGCGTAGGCCACGGCCTCCTCCGGTGAGCCAGTGGTTTTTTTACCTGATCATTGGCTTGTCCACTCTTGTCGGAGTCGCTTGTAAGGAGTCAATTTGGCCTCTTGATATGTCGTTGCATCTTGCAAGCGACCTGTGTGTATGTAACGCTTTTAACAAGGCTCTGCCTTCAGACAGAATATATTTGGGCTGTAGTAAGCGCTAGTATTTCTATCATCTTGCTCTGCTCTGCACAGAAGTAGCGAAGGCTACTTTTAACACAATGAGTAAGGCGAGAAGGGAAATCTCCGTTTTCCCAAAATAACTCTGTAAGAAACGTAAGCCCAACGGTAGTAGAAGTGCGGGTGCGACTGCGGTAATAGATGATGAGAACGTGTGTCTTTAACAAAACGTTATCGATGCGGACTTAGATGCTCTGCTTTCTTTGAAAGGAAAGGCAGATGTGTTGTCATTACTTCCAGCAAAAATCAGTGATTTGCCGTGTTGAAATCGGTCATCAGAACGTTTAATGAAACTGTAAGAAGAGCTGAAGAGGCGGTAAATTTCTTTTCTGCAAAGTATGATTATGAAAGACAACGATAAGCCAATGAAAGTGCTGAACGATGAAGTTGAAATTCTCACGTCGACAGTAATCGAGGAGAGTTCTGAATTACGCGTACTGGAGACAGAGGTTAACGACGCTGAGATAGAGTTAATCAAGTAGCAAAGAAATTCATGGTCTACCATACCACCAGATTGAGAACATCCGGAACTTAATTGTTAACCAGGCTTCCAAGCTGGACCTCAAGAACGTTCAGCTCTCTGATGTAATTAGTGTCCGTCACCTGCCAGCACAACGGCATTCGACTTCCCCTCACCCGAGATAGTGAAGTTTACCTTCCTAGCCGTCAAAGAACTCTAAATGGCATCACGAGGTAAATCAACTCCATGAGCTCACGAATACCAAGTACCTGTCGGCCAAATGGCTATTTCCAGCTACTGAGCATGGCAAGCACGCCTGTTATGAAATTGGAGGACTCGCCAAGGAACATGCAATGCTTGTCAATCTCCGTGGGCCTGCCACATCAGATATTGAATGTGGGTCAGATATGGTGGACATCCTCAAGACAAAATGACCGAATCTTGCAATAAATCACCTGCCAAGGCCTGACGTGGTGGTGTTAAAAAAAAGTGAAAAGAAGAGGCTGGCATTTTGTCCGGTCCGTGCCTGAAATTTAATCCTTAACTTCTGGCAGCTCACATGCATCAACCCATTGCTGCACGAATTGCTGGTACCAAGAACAAGAGCGCCTACAAACAAGCGACTTCTGAAATAAAAACTCGTTTCTACCTGTGTTTGCAAAAAGTTTTAAGCGCAAGGCGGCTACAAGAAATCTCATAAAAATCGGATAAAACAATTATTAAAATGACTTTACAGAATCGGAAACCTTCAGTATTTTTCTTCTCTTTACGTTTTGCAGCTTTTATCGTGCATGCTAAGAGCTAAGGACGATAAATGCAGTACAACTCCGTGGTGTTGAAACGGTTTTGAGTTTTTATTATCCGTCTGAAAGAGGCGTCTGTGCACGGAGGAAAGAAGTCTGACCTTTTGGCCCGGCCGGCGCGCCCCGTTGTTTACACCAAAGCGTTCCGTCACTGACGTAGTACATGACGTCCTTAACGCGCGCCGGAGAGCCAGATGGAGCGCGCTAGGGTGCCTCGGCGTCGTTTTGTTTAGAGTGATGCCGATCTTTGAAGTACCAGATTTCCACAACACGCACTCACGCCAAAAATACAAAGAAATGGCGGAAAACAAAATCCCGTTCATGCCATGAGCTCGTGCGGGGAGGCGCTCTTTAATACGCCCGAGAACAAAAAAAAAAAAAAATACACAAAATAGTCGGGAGCGAAATAGTGAGATGTCATCACACTAATCAAAGCGCATACGATGGCTCTTTGAGTAGAGGGGTGCGCGCTCTTTTTGCCGCTCGCGTCATGGGTGCCTGCCGCAGGTCTGGCCGTGTCAGCCGCAGGCCCACCGTGGCGACGGCTCCAATGCCGAAAGGATGCGCGCCGGTTCAGCTTCGTCATTATTTGATACCGCCAAGCAAAAAAATTAGATAAACATGTGTTAAGCAGAGCCGCTCGGATCGCTTCCTTTACGTGGCGTGCACAGAGACCATACTAGGTGGCCATTGAGAACAGGGCCTGGGAAGCATGCGACTCGATCGCTCAGGATCGCGAGCTTTTTCTGCGAATCTGATACAAAAATGCACTAAGAATTCCGACTTTGAAACCACCGTCCGCCTTAGTGCCGTCAATTTGGTTCTTTCTGACCACCCTCGATCATTTTTACACTTTTTATTAATAATGAATTTATGATCTAAGGTTAACTACACGCCCCATTCAAGGTGCAGTGTAGTCTCAGTTTGGTCATATTTCTAGCTTTATAACTTCAAACACACACAAACAATACATGTTTTTTGCGAATTCCGTTAATTACTACCATTAACCTTAATTTCAGATTTAAAAAAAAAATGAAGACGGCCTTTTCCTAATTGAGTTTCAATTACCTCTTAATTATTAAAATGTTCCAATTTGAAAGTTTCGCATAGAAGTGTGCCGCTACTCAGGACAACAATATTTAGCGCTAATATTAACTAGATACAGGACAACACGCAGCAAGGTTTGAAACTGCTTGTATTTAGAGATGTAGAGAAAAGAACATATCATATCTAAATATTTTTGCATAATGTGGCCGTGTTTGCGAATTCGCTCTGGAAATTAGCAACATCAGTACTTAATGATAAATATTTGAAGTCGCTCCTCCTCGTACGTAATTTGTCAGAAAATATTTTTAGACCTGTATCCAAAACAGTTTCTCTGGCGTAATTGGCCTAATTGCCAATTTCGCGCAATTCGGAGTAAGCGCTTCGCACTGGGTGTTAGTGTGACTGTAATGTGTTTTTTTTCCCGCAAAGACAAACTTTTCTTTTTTTCGTAAAACCGATTTCAGTTTTTGCTTTGGAGGCATCGAGTTTACAAAATATGTTTTGTTTGGAAAAATTAAAATGGTCATTGGACATGGTCGGAAGAACTTATCTAAAAGCACCCCGTAGCACGTCCGAAGCTGCTTTAGCTTGCGTTGGGGGCCTTAATCAGTCTTCGAAGCAGATCCTCCGCCCTCTGCCATCGGTATTGGCTCGTAAATGTCCGCTTCAACTCGGTCATGCAGATGTCCCTACCCAGCACCTACACCAAAATGTCACGCGAGACAATCCATAAGGCGACAATAATTGAAGGAAACTAAACGTTTGAGAGGGCGAAGTTGTGCCCAAAATAAAATGGAAAACGGCTAGCATCGCAAGCGTCGATGGCGGCGTGACAGCAAGATCGAGCGCTGGGGCGAGACTGACTCAGTGCGGCGCGGTGCGGCTTTTTTTGGGCCTTCTCTGGGTGCTTAGAATAGTGTGCCTCGATCCTTCTTGAACTTACATTCTTAACATAAGCAAGCTAGACGACTCTCCAACCTTCTAGAATTTTCGACTTACAGAAAAAAGGTAGAAAGGACGTGCGGTGCCGGGACTCCTACCCGACCCACCAACGTGTGAGCCCAGCGCACTGCCGACTCGGCTACGTAAGCGCGCGGCACTACCATGCTTGAACATGGAGGATCTCCAAATGACTGCTAAAAGTCACCAATACTCTCATGCAATAAACAATCACCAATACTTTGACACCGAAATTTTTATAAATCCTCCTATACTTCCCTTTGAATGGATTGGAAGTCACCACTGAGCAATTTCTTCGCTGCATAAAGTTTGACATAGAAAGATATTCCATTCACGTAGGAAAGTTCCTTCTCCTGCGAGTGTCACAACGTGCAGAGTTTGTATATTTTAAAGGCCCTTTATAAAAACTTAATCTGCTACCGCTACGCTCAGACGTTATAGAAGCGTTGCGAGTACTCGGGGATTAGGTGACTGAAATGCATTTTTAAACCTTAATTTTATTTACATGGGAATGACGCAGGAGCCCCATTCGGTGTATTTATATTACTAAACAATGCAGTGCTTAAACATTTACCCCGTGCAGATGGTTGCTCATAAAGGCCTTGACATGATTCAGTCATTCGGGCAAAGTGCCCTTGTCTTTCCTTTTCTGGTACATTTGGGGTGATAATTAAATTCTTGTCATGATGTATAAATTTCTACATTTAACTATTCCATGCTCACACCGAATGCCACCCTCCTCCGAAAGTCGTAATGATGCCGTCATAATCTGCCCATGTGGCGTAATAGAAAAACTTATTTATTTTCTTGTCAGACTACTCCAGCAATATGTATGCTTTTAAAAGGCTAGGGCCAAGAAACTGAAATTTGTAGGGCATGAAAAATATGTTTATAGCGGTATTAGTGTATTTCTATATTTGAGGAGAACTGAATTTGCTACGCAAGTATCAGAAAGTTTAGTCAGGTTTTCAGTCTTAACAAAGTGAGTTTGCTGAAAGTTATTTTTCTCTGCATAGCGTTATTTATCACTCCACATTCCACCAACTCTATTTCCCGATGTTCCACCTGAGTACGTCACTCACGATTTCAGAGAAAAAAGGAAGGCCTTTTACAACTCCCAGTAACCCCGAAATAGAGCGCAGCACTTGAGGAGGGGGAAGGAAGGGTACTGAGGGGAGAGTATCACCCTCCTCCCTCCTTATGTTGCCTGCTACTCCTCCCTCTAAGCGGCGTCGGCGTCGCCGTCGCCGTCGGCGTAACCGTGAGGTCACGTGACCCTCATGACGTCGCGTGACCCTCATGACCTCACGGGGTCACGTGGCGTCACCGGGGTCACGTGACCTCACCGAGGTCACGTGACTTCAAGGGGGTTACGTGGGGCCCTGAGAGGGTCACATGACCACTCTGAGGTCATGCGACCCCGCGAGGACGTTTCGGTGCCGAAACGTCACCATGCCGAAATGTCGCCGTGGTTACGCCGACGGCAACGCCGAAGCCGCTCAAGCCGGAAACGGGCGCCTAAGAGCTGCGCTCTGAAAGCTAGAACATTTCAAATAACACAAGAAATGGGCATTCCACTGTCGTACGACAGTGCACAATTTTTTATGTATCAAAATCTTCTGTCAATTGTTTGGAAGTTATTTAAAATGTCAGATATTAATGTAAACCATGGTTTACACTTCTGTATTAAGTAAGGTAGCATATGTCTTTATGTACCTGATTATAAATATCACATAAAATTTTAAAACAGTTTCACAACATAACTAAAGAAAGGGTACAGTTCATACTCATAGAAACCCACGACAAGAAAATAAATAAAAAAACAATGAAAAAGACAGCATAACGACGTTTTACAGCTATTAGCGCCAACTTATTCTATGTTCTGTCGTATATCAAAATGTGTGTAGCGTCCAATATTTCGATCAGTGAGGTCTGGGGTCACAGCTCTTTTAGATATCAAGAGTATCAAGATATATTCAACACATCAAATTACCGATAGATTAAATTGAAATACTTTTTTAACATGTGGTGAGTGAAAAAATGCAAATAAAAGTCTTCTGTTAATAAAATATTAAATATCCTAAAGCTTTACCTAAAAAAACTAAATACTGTTGAAACAGTTAGAATTTGACTTATTTCACATACTAGTATAAATTACAGAAAGCTAGAGAGAATCGGGTAGGCTAATATAAGGTTATTAGGCTTAGAAATAGAAAGAAAAACACAATTGATCACAATTTTGATCATCATATCCTCTTTGTAATCTCATCAATGTTTGCCCTGGCTTCGCAGCTTGAAAAAAGTAGAGTTAAACACTCACGCTGCAGAAAACAGGCATCAAACGCTTATTTCCCGCCCCTACCCGTTCTTAGTTCATTAATGATCCTTCCAGTATGCGTTAGTATATCACAACCACGTTATGCACGTTAAAGGCCACATACGTGCCGTCTTTTTGTACTGGCACACGCGCAGTGATACTTTAAGCCTTGTAACGCTGTATGCATCTTGCCATTCAGCTATTGCATTCCTAAATAAAAGATAACCCTTCTGCGCAAGTCGATATGTTGACATAATTATCTGCACAGGTAGCGTAAATTATTTTCTTGTCATTCAAACTCCCTAAGATGTGTACGCTTCCATAAAACTAACATCAAGATACGCAGTTTTAGTGGCATAAGAAATTATATTTAAAAGCAGCATTCATACTTTTCTATCATTTAGCAAAACTTGGTTTGCTCAGATATAGTTTGCACTCGTTTTTAGGTTCAAAAAAATAAGTTTGCTGAGATGTATTTATATGCATAGCACTAGTTATCAGTTAATATTTTACAAACTCTTTTCCTCATTTTCCCACTAAGTAGGCAACCAGAGATTATATAGATAAAACATTTAACCTGTCAAAAGGAATGTAAATTTCTTTTGGCGTTTGACAGTGCACAATTTTGCACTATCGGAATCTTTGGGTGAGGCATTTTTGTTTTTATGAAACTTATAATTTTAATCTAGACCAGTGGTAAGATGACTCGATTAGACAGGTAGCCTATATCCTTGATTTACCTAAATCGCAAAGTCATAATTTCATAAAATAAAAAAATAGAATAAAAAAGTGGCACAGTTATGAGCGCTGAAATTTTGTGTGAGCCGTCGTATATTAGATAATTGTAGCCCTGTCCTGAATTTCAATCAGTGAGGTGGGTGGTCTCCAGCTTTCTGGCATATTGCAGAGTGGGTATACGGTAAACTTTAAGATACAGGATCTATTAAATAATTCAAAATACATATACAAAAATTATGATTGTTTTCAGCGTTTTGTAGGTAAAAAAATGTAGCAGATAAGATTTTTATATGTACAAAATTTGATTACAATAAATCTTAATGTAGAGTGAAAACTGAATATGTGCTGAAGCTATACAAATTAGACTTTCCTTCGCATCCCAATATAAATTACAGAAAATAAGGGGCAATCAGGTCGGCAAATGTAAAGTTATTCGGCTTGAAAATATTAATAGATCAAGGTTGCTATTTTTATTATTATTCTAATGAAAGTGTGTTAGTGCTTCGCGGTTCAAAAAAGCTATATCCTAAAATTCACGTTGTGGAAAACAAGCATTCAACAGGTTAATGCCCCACCCTTACCAGTTTTTTCAAGTTGATGATCGTTCCGGCGTGTGTTTGCCCACACGATTCCAATCACTTTTGCATGTATATCGGCATTTCAGCCAATTGAACCCAATCTATAGGTCGCCTGACTTTTACAATATCCACTCTGACACATCTAACTTTTTTTGCGCGCGGGCTGAACTAATTTTGAGCACTCTGTAAGAAACATGCTCATGCTGGAAAAGGGCTGATATGTACATGTAAGTCAACGCAACATTGCTTTTTTGTTTACTTGCTTGAGGTATGAACGCCTTGACCGCTTCTCTGTTTTGTGATTTATGTTCGTCTTGGAGCTTGAACTCTGAATCTCTTATTATGTTGGTATCAACCGTGTGGACACCGGCTGCTGCTTTGAACTTGAGTTTTAGAGTGCAGCTCTTAGGCGCCCGTTTCCGGGTTTTGCGGTGTCGGCGTCGGCGTCGGCTTAACCGTGCTAAATTTTCCGTGAAAATTGATGTCACGTGGTCTTAACAACAAATTCAGTTCCCCGTGGAATAGGTGTTGAGGTCACGTGACATCAAGTTTCACGCCAAATCTAGCGGAGAAACTGAATTTGCTCACAGGTGAGGTGACACCAAGCCATGTGACGTCATTTTCCCTGCTAAACTTAGCGGGGAAACTTAGTTAGTGTTAGGTTATGCGGCATCAATTTTTCAGCTAAATTTAGGGGGAAACTGTGGGAGAAAAGGAGGGTGTGGTGAAGGAGGAGGGGAGGATACGAAGGAGGAGGAGGGACATACCCTCCCCTCCTCCTCTTCAAGAGCTGCGCTCTAATTTCGCATTACAGAGATTTGTAAATGTCTTTCATTTTTGTAGGTTAATGTATTTCTTAAATGAAGTGTGCCAGCACAAGATATATGTTGTTCCTTGGCACTATAACAAACACTGATTAATTGTTTGATTGATGAATTGATTTATTAAATAGTTCATTTTTTTATTATTAATACTGAATGAAGTATATGTACTCTCCTTAGGTTTTGCAAGATATGCGATCGCTTCAATTGGCTTTGACGACACCCCACACAGGAAGGTCAATTTGCCAGATAGAAGTAAACTGGTTCAATAAAACAGCTAAGGAGGTTAAATTGACAATATATGATACGGATTTGCAAGGAAACTGCACGTAAGTAGAGCAGCCTGGATAGGCATTCGCCCAGAGGTCTTTACCGATCCCATAGCTGCTGCGATGTTTCTGACAGGCTACATCATTGTAAAAATGGTTAGCCAAGGGGGATAATGTAAGCTCAAGGCGATATGGCGTGTTCAAAGTAATCTGCGGCTACGTAAATTCGGTTTGAGTATGTGTAAAACGGAAGCATTATTTAAATATGTAAACTTGCGTATCAAAGCATATCAGCTTACGGAAGAGATCCTTAAAAAAAAGAAAAAAACGCTTTCCTTCATTGCTAACAGTTTTCTGGAAGCTAGTTGAAGAGACGTTATTGGACGATAATCCTACATCTGCTTTATCACCACATGTCACATATTATATTTATTGTGTTTTAAAATACTGGAACTGAAACGTCTCAAATTGACGCCGCTAATAACAATAATGGAAAACAACGGGACCAAGAGAAAATGCATTAGCAGGACACCCGAGCTTCCAATTTGAAATAATGACGTTGTACAATATAAAACACTTTTAACTTGACTTCAGTAATGAAAGACGTGAATTTGCCAAACGATCACCCATTTCAGGACTTTCTCACGCCATCACTCATGCCATGACTCCGTGTAGGAGTTGCCGTACGTTCTGTGGCACGGCATCAATCTTCTTGAGCATTGGCGATTTTTTTTTATTCAAGTGAAGTTTGTTTGCTAACGCTTTAATCACCTTGACAGAATATTAAAAACTTTTTCGCATTTGGTTTTGAAAAAAAACCTTGAATTTATACAGACCTTCCTTCCAATTTCTGAATGGGTGATCGGTGACAACGCCGAAACCTAAAAGTACAAAAATAAAAAAAAGTGATTACAAGATAATTAGAATCCATTTTAGCAGCATTCGTGTGCGCTCTGTTTCTAATTCCAGAGTGAAAGGATATTTTAGAAATTGGCACTGATTTAAGCTTTTGGAAACACCGGTGATGGCAGTCCCTTCTGCATGCTTTGGGTGTCACTCAGGTTGCGTAATTGGTTTGCGTCATTTCTCTCACGAATGAGAGGTTGCTCTGGAAGTTAACGTTAATTTTGCCGCATTTTTTTTTTTTTTTACAGTCCGAGGAGTAGTGCAGTAATTGTCAAGGCTCGTGAAGATTGGAGAACCAAGCAACTTTCAGAATTTAGAATTCCACGAACAATAGGTAATGCACGTGATAAAAAGCGTTCAATCACCCATTATTTTCGAAAACTTCGATAATTCACAAAAATAAAGTAGGCGATAGAGCTGAAATGAACACTCGGCCAATACATTTATCAGATTGCTTCAGTACGGTTGAATATCTCAAATGAAAACCGAAAATTCACTAGGATTTGTCCATGTCGGAACCGACTTGAGCACTAAAATTCAGCACTAAAAATGACTAATATAAAATTACTACCATGTAAATAAATCCCCAACTCGTGCTGACGCACTGTCGCCCAGTGTGACAAGCAGAACCTTTTATGCTGCCTGCTACACGATGTGTGCATCCAATTTAGTGCTAGTAAAGAAGAATTTTTTGTCATTGTTAAAATTTACACAATGTATATTCCCCTCCCCTCTCCCCCCCCCCCCTTTTCCACAGTGCTCCTTGAGGGTGCGTGAGGTATTTAAATGAATAAATTTAAATAAATAAACTCAAGCCCGTATTATAATCAAACAGTCGCAAATTGCTTAAACACTCACGCATATCGATATACTAATCTAATGCCTCACTTAACCTCTAACTTATCTCGAAGTTAAGCTTGCCCTACTTCAATCGCTAGGTCAATATGTATGTGTTCAGTATGTTGCCTATAGCATTACCATCTTTGTTTCATAAATAGGCAAATAAATATGTGGACAAATAAGTGTGCAAACGAGCTGGTGTGTTATGATCGGTTATTTGAGCATAAACGCTGTGTAAAAAAGAAAAAGAAGCACTCAAAATTGTCTAACCATTTAGCAGAAAGTAACAATTTTGTTCCTTTGTAGCACTTGACATATATATATATATATATATATTTTTTTTTTTTTGGGGGGGGGGGAGATGGAGGGTAAACAAACGTTTAGTCAGATCTATCACCATTTTGAACAATGGAAATGTAGTAAACAGGACTTTCTTTGAATTAGTACCGGAATTAAATAGATATCTCCAGGTTTTAGTCGTTTGTGTGTGTTTTATGTTGGTAGAGAGAAGAGAAACAATGAATTTTCTTCATAAATGGTATGAGGAGGTAAACGAAAACAAACATGGCCGAACCTGAGGGGGGACTATATAGCTTTCGATCCGCTATTGTTTTTCTTGTTTTTAAAGGGGGCCCTCATCGATTAGCCCATAACCGAAATGTCTCTCCACCGACGATTAATTGCGGTACCTCGTGAAATTTACTGATACGGTATCGATAAGCCTTGTGATTCCTCAGATGAAAAGGAAACGCACTTGTTCAAAATTACAAATATGCCGAAGGTATCGTGGGCGCCGCACCTTCTTGACTACCTATTCGAGCCTCCCGGTGCACATACCCGAAAAAGAGTAAAAAATGAAAGACATTTAGAAATCTCTGTAACGCGAAACTAGATCACAGGTCTTGAGGAGGACTAGGGGAGGGGTGCAGAGGGGAGGCATGCCCTCATCCTTTTCCGTACTCTCCCCTCCTCATTCTCTCTTCCTTTTCCTACTCTCCCGTCCTCCTTTCCCTCCTCCTCCTGCTCCTACTCTCGTCCTCTCCTCCTGCCGCTGAATCTGTTCATGGACGACGTGACACAAGGTCGTGACGCCATTTTCCCCGCTAATTTTAGAGGGAACTTGAATTGGTATTGAGATCGCGTGACGTAAATTTTTCCGCAAAATTTAGCGGGAAAATTACTCCGCTAAATTTGGAGGAAACGTTTTCCTCTATCTTCAGCGGGAAAACGTACGATAATACAATGCGCGCGGATACGCCGACGGCGACGCCGCTCAAGCCGGGAACGGGCGCCTAATTAAGAGCTGCGCTCTAAAACCCACAGGTCCTTAAACGCGTTCCGCTCCTTCGTGTATGACAAGGCATCAGCGACGGACACCTACATCCCACAGGCACCGAAGATACACGCCTAACTTCCCCGCAAGGCTAGCGGGGTCTCGGTTAAAGCAAACAAAATTCTGTATTTTTTTTTTTCTTCTTTCAGAGCGAAACGAGTTTCTGTAATGCACAATTTTCGAATGCTTTGACTTGCTCGCTCTGGTATTCAATGTTATTTTCCCAGAGCACTGTGTCACCTTGACTTTATATCTACAGTAATAGCCCGGTTGACAGCTATCGTTGCACGGAGATGGTCGGTCGAGGCGCCGCTGACACCGCATCTTCGCATTTGTCGCGTTGCGCCATCTGTCGGAAGCACATTAAAGCAGGCTAGTACCGTCTGCTATGACGTCGTCTTGCTACAGTGGCTTAAAGGGGGTGGTGTAGTTACCGCGTAGGCTCCACCATGCATCGGGAATGGCCGCTCCTTGGAAGACGGTCTAGATGGCGCTTCGATCCGCAGCTCCGTTGGGTGCCTCAATCGGCCGGCAGATAGAGGCACTTATAACACGCTTCATAACTAATATAAATACCCCAAATACAAGTATTTGTTTCGAGTGAACTTCCAACAGCATGATTTGTGTTTGAAGGTGAATAAAAAATGTGAAACTAGCAGACGACAGTGTAGTCGACAGCTGTGAATCAGCCGGAGGAGGCCGGAGTTAAGCTGACCAAGCGGCCAAGCCGTAGCCATAGCCGGAACGACGGTGCTGCAAGCGCCAGCGCCACCCGCGGCCGTCTTCCAACGCTGTGCCGCTTCTCCGGTTTCGTTCGTTACACTACCCCCTTTAAGCCACTGTAGTCTCGCTATCGCCGAGGGTCGGCGGCGTCGACGGCGTCCCTCGTCTCAAGATAATCGAAGGAACTTCACTTGGGACATTTTGTTTGTGCCGGTGCGCATGGGCCACTTAAGAACACGATACTGGGGCTGTTCTAGAGCGTAGCTCTCACGGGATTGCCCGCTTGAGAACCAAGATTTTTCGCGCAACCACCCAAACACAAGGTAAACATAGGAGAACCGGACCTGTTTCTCTAACCCTGTCACGGCGTCCGGGAGTGGCGCGATCACTCTGAATTTTGTTGGTTAGGTCAGATCGCTGCGACCGTGACGTGCAAAGTGGGTGAGGGAGTGTACTGTTTGTTTCTCTCTTTTATGTGCTTTTTGTCTGTGCTTTGACTATATTGAAGAGCTTGCTTGTCAAGTGTATTTTCAGGTGTGTTTGATACTTCCCGTCTGCCCTGTCTACCTTTTTAATCTAGTCTTGTTTTTTTTTGTAATTATGCTAAATAAACCTAGCTTCTCATTTAAGGGAATTTTTGTTTAATACAGCATAAGATTAGTAAATATATATTTATATTTTCAGGAAGGAAAAAACCATGGACGCTATGGACAGACACCCGAATTCTTTTCACGGATTATGACACATGTCTGATTTTTATTACTTCGTTCAATGGCGAAAAGTGTAAGTAATTCATATCATTTTTCATACCACGTTTCATGCAAGTAACACGAAGATGCGGTGAACGGGGTTTCCTCATTTCATTCAGTCACAGCGGGTACACAAACAGAGCAATCAAAGTGTTAAATATCCGTTGACACCCTGACTGATTTAGAACTTACGCTTATCAAGGTGCGTTGATTTCATTATGCGAATAATATGTCTAATTGGAGAGACGTATCTGACTGCTTATAGTCACTGAGATCTCAGAAAACGCAGGGTGTGACTTTATATGTTTATGCTTCCTCACTTTTCTTTGATGTTCTTATCAGCTAACGCCGTGTTCTCATTGGCTGCTGAGTGATAATGGGAGTGGAACTAATCACGGCCTCTGTTTTGCTTTGATTTACAAAGAAGTCTCCATTGGTTTTGAGACATGATGGTGACCTAGAGTGTCAGGACCCATGATCTTGTTTTCTGGTGGCTGTCGGCCACCGGGGAGGGGAGTAGGTCCGCTGGCGGATGCGCTCCGATAAAAAACCGAAGGTTAGAAATGCGACCAAGCGGAGTGTATTTTTTTTTAACGCCTTCAAATGCTGCCTTTGCCTTATACCTTTCTAAGATGAATTGACTTATACCCCGTTTACTGCTAAGCTGACAGTGCGGTGGGAGCTACGATTTCGCCTAACCAATCAACCGCTTCCCTTTCATGACCCGACATCGCTCTCTGTGCGTTGGTATGGGGCGGTAGTGTGATCACGTGGAGAAAGATCGGCGTATGATTAGTTCAAGGATCACGTAGCTTCCAGCTCAGTGTCAGACGATGGGTGAACCGTGTATAGTGGTTTTTGATAATGCTCAGCGTGTTTTTCAATGGAATATTAAGTTTAACTTTACTACTTGAAACGGCAATTAGTAAATATTATTTAATTCTTTATATAATTAGTATGCTTCTTTTCAATCCTCGGCGTCCACCGTGGCTGGAAGAAATTTGTTCCCGGAAAGAGATTTTTTTTATCCACCCTATTTATGAAGTTTTGAAAGCCTTAGTTGAAAGACCCGGTATACGGATGGTTCTGGAAATAAGGCAGCTGGAACAGAAACCACTGCCTATACTATTCCTCTCATCTCGTACGCCACTTTCGTTTACGAAATTGGAACGCCGTACCCACCACAGCAGAAATTATTAAGATAATTTCGGCCTTTGTAATTTTTTGGTATGTGTAACTAGATTCAAGCACAGGTAATTTAAGTGGACTCTTGAGTATTTTGATAAAACATGATTTTTGTCGCGAGAAACAGCATGAGCAGATACTCATCGCAGCCAGGGAGCCATCAGTGTTGCAAACTCAAAAATTGAAAACCCGCAGTCGGAATCCCGAAAACCGCTAAAAACCGCTAAATCCAGTACACAACACAAAACTGACTTTTTCGCAATTTTGTTTTTGCTTTAATTCTTGCCCAAATGTGTAATAACAGTATAGATGATATCAATGTCACCTGAAAGGAAGCTTTCCTTTTGTTTTGAATAGAAATCTGTCACGCCACGTCCCTTCGTTTACAAAAAGATGTCGTCTGCTTCATCGTCACCTTGGTATTGTTGATCGCAAATGCCACTGGTTCCTGGTGTGTCACCGCCGTCTTTACCAAAATAAGCCTCCATTGTGCCGATTTTTTTTTTACAACATCTGATGGGAGTTTATAATTAGAACAACATTTGTTGTCTCTTCGGAGGCCAGCCCTCACCGTCGAAATGGCATTGGTAATCTCCGTAGACATCCTGTTTCTCAGCTTAGATTTGACGATGTTCTTCTGGCTGAACACCCGTTCAACCTCTGCGTTCGACCGAGGCAGTACAAGTGTCGCCAAAGCAAAATCAGCAAGGTCAAGGAAAGGGTGTGTGTTGGAGGCATCCCTGTACTTTTTGAACTCGTCCCAGAAGGCGACAGTTGTGTCAAATTTGTTCCAGCGCACAAGAGTGAGTTTGTTCCACTGAAGCTCGATCGCTGCAATTTTTTCTTGTGGCAACTTCATGAATTCCATGAGGGGCACCAGCGACTCCTCCGCAGAGCGGAGGGCGTTCCCTAGAAACAGCAGGGAAACCTGTCTCAGTGTCCGAACGTTGTCTGGTAGCCTCAGCTGGAACTGCCTCACGAGGTGGCACAGGAAGGCGATGCACCGTTCTCTGAATACTCGTTCCGAATCTTCAAAGAAGCCCGTTTTTCTCAGGTTTTGGAGCGTCCTTTCAACTTCATAGCCGAGCTTGGCTCTTGGATCAACGTAGGCGTCGACGCTTGCACTCAGTGGGTCTGCTCGACACGTGGGCAGAACAAGCTTCTTCGTCAGGCCTTCAGTTAGCAGTGTTAGATCGCTTACCAGTTTCAGGCTATCAGCCGAGTTAGACTCAAGCGCCTTGTTAACCCTTTGCACTTCCGAAAGAATAGGTTTTATAAAAACGAGGTAGGCAAAGTTTGTCGGGTCGCGCATCATGGAATGCAGAATTTCTGCAGTGTAGCACTTTTCAGGCATTCTTGCTTCGCCGAAATGTGACTTCAGCGCCGCCCACTGGTCGAGAACCGTTCGGACTGCTGTTTAGATGGACAGCCACCTTATTGATCAGGACTGTACAATTTTGAGCGGATCATGTTTATCGTACAGGGCTCGGTAGAAATCGCGGTAGGACTGTTGCCTTGATGACGACCGGCTGAACCAGTTGTAGATTTCACTCACCGAAAATTCGAGATTTCTCGGAAGAGCTTCCGCGACGGCATTTGAAACTGCCAAATCCAGCGAATGACCGACGCACCTCACCAAAAGGAGGTTAGGAACATCCGCCTTAAGCTTCTGGTACACACCGTTGTTGACTCTGACCATCACACTTGCATTGTCCGTTACTATTCCCACCATCCCCTGCAGATCGATGCGAAACTGGGCTAAGCACATTTTCACTGCGTCTACAATGAACTGAGCTTTTGAGTCAGTGAGTTCCACTAAGCTCAAAAAGGTAGAGACCACATTGGCAGCCTTCTCGCTGTATTAGACGATAACGACGCCCAACAGCTTGGTCACCGATATGTCCGTTGATTCGTATAGCATCAGGCTGTAGCTTCCAGATCCTAGGTCGGAAAGCAACTTGTCAACAAAGTGAGGAGGGAGGACGTTCTTTATCAATGCACTGTACTTCGACCGATGAAGCTGGAGGTGCTTAGCTCCTTCGCTGTCCCGAAACTGATTACGGCACTGTTCACCCAGGTGATCCGAAGCCAACATCGCGGAGTGAGCGCATTTGAACATGGCAAGGGACCCTTCAGCAGTGCATGACCGGTCAGACTTCCGTTCAACTCGTAAAATAGTCTGCCTGCCAGAGGAGAAAGGTGCAGCGGCCGAAACATCCTTCTTCGTTGCAGCGTGCGCGACCAAATCCACGTACTTAGCAGATAGTTCCGTTTTGCAACAGCGGCGCCTGGCTCGTCTGCTACCACCAGGAACCTCCAGTAGCCAGTCTTAAAGTTTGGGGTCTTGTAGCCAGTCTTTTCTAAATTTTTGAGCGTACTTTACCGGGCCCATATCACGAAGCAGTTACAAAAACGCCAAAGGAACATGGGAGCATTCACGCTGTTCAAACGTGCACTCACGAAACTGGGAGGTGTGTTCCGATATTCCACGCCTTAATGTTTTGATGACGTCAAAGGGGTAACTGTCACAAACCAGAACATTACTGAAAGTAAGCAAAGACGACTGTGGCTGATTATGAATATGACAGGTGCATAGTTGACAGTAAATCGATATAAAATTTCTATACCTTTCAAGAAGCGCCAAGATTACATAAAACCGGCTAAAAATCCCGCCGCCCGCGAAACAGTAATTTATCCCGCAAAACAGAACCAAAAACCGCTAAGTTTAGTGGGGAAACCGCTAAATTGGCAACACTAGGAGCGAGGTCAGCCCGCAATTCAATTTCCAAACGCAATATTAGCAATAGTTGAGGTAACGCTGAGTAACAATGCTGAGTTGAGGTAACGAACTAACAATGCATTATGAAGAGTCGCACGCTTAACGAAACAATAGTGTGCAGGCGAGCTGGTGTACGTTGAACATGATGGTAAGCGCGAGAATGGGGTAGGAAAAGGAAACGCAAAAAGAAGAGAGAAAAAGAACAGGCTATGTCTCAAATTCAGCTACAAAGTTTAATTCGTACACGCCTTATATACGTCTCCAACGCCGTCACTACAACCACCAGAAGAAACAAAACCCCACGACAAATATAGACCACAAAACAAGAGGGTTAAAAAAAACGAAAGAAAAAAAAAAAAACGGTGTACACAAATTTACACAAGCACCGAAACTGGTTTTCCCCAGTCTCAGGGGTTTGTCTAAAATCATGTTAAACCTTCACCAGTTCGTTTTGTGCCCTAACTTTTTTGTTAGTGCGGACGAACACGGTTTTTATCACGAAAGGGGGTAAAGCTTCTGTTACCTTTCCTTACCTCGGCTACGAGACATTTACACTAAGGGTCGCAGTCACCATAACCACCCCCTTGCCCTCCGCGAACGCAAGGGGTTTACAAGAACGAACAAAAAAACAAAAAAAAACAACTAAAACTCTGCTTTTTCTATAGTTAGTTACAGGTTAAGAAAGGTTTTTGACGGAAACAAGGGCCGAGCAGGAGGAGGCAGACGGAATGACGGAGAGGAGAAGAGAAAACCTCTTCTCTTCAGCATTCTGTCGGCTTCCTCCTCCCCAGTCAGAAAACTTTTCTTAACGTGTCACTGACTGTTACAAACCACACAGTCCAGAAAGGCATGCATAGACACTGCTAACACTTCGAAACTGCGTACTCGGATCCGCGAACATATAACAACCTACAGCAATCATTAAACAATAAAGAAATTTTACAAGCGCATAAATTGTTTACACTCATTCCCAAACTGCACCGACGCCTGACTTGAACAGCCACCAGACGTCTTTATACGAACTGTTTCTTGAACTACACCTTTCATATCATTACATCCTCTCTGAATTGCTTTCGTGGCGGACCAGTTCGCTTGACATGCATGGCATTCCTGAAGGTGTCTGGCTAATACAGAGTTGAAGCGTTGTTCTTCACATTCCGCTTGTGTTCAGTCAATCATTTACGCACCTCGGCGTATGACCACATATCTAAACCCGCACTCTAAAGGGATCTCGTGAACCACAGATTTCTCACATGAAACCGACCTTTCTCGATGTCTATTTTGGCATCCTTTCTGTCGTTCCCGATTCAAAAGACGTAAGTTTTCATAACTTCAAATCGGACGTGAACACGGTCTCCACGCCAAACTTCGTAGATGTTTTTATGTTATGACAAATATCGTAAAAATATGGGGTAGCAGCTCGCTCGCTCCTGACACTTATGGTGAATTCCGCTCGCAGATCTCGAGCGCTCCAAAAGCGCTCCATTTGGAGCGCGCATATTCCGCTCGCAGATCTGGCTCAAGTTGGTCATCTTCCGCTCGTAGATCTCTGGCAGCGCCTGCTCCACGGAGCGCCCCAAACTCCGCCGAACTTGCTCTGCGGGGTTTCACAGATCTCTCCAGAAGTTGACAGAGCGGCCCACGTGATTTCCGTGTAAATCGCCGGTGCGCATGCGCGGCGAGGTTGGAGAGATCGGCGGGCCGGTCGGGTCGGAGTTGGATCTGTTCGGGTGCATCGGCTGTTTACTCTGGATTGTGACGGCTCCAACGCTTCTACTTCGCGTAGATCAGGGATAAAAAGCCGGAAATGTGGAGCGTGGCAAATCGTAAGCGCTGACTCTGTGATCGCGAGAGGAAGAACGAGAAAAGGAACGACAGAAAAGCCGGAGGCAGACGCAAGGTTAGGCCTATTCATTCTGCACCCAGTGATTGTTTGCCTTTTTGCACTGCATTCCGTCGGCATTTTCCCGTGAAATAAAGCAAGAAGTGGTTAGGCAACGACCGCGCAAGTGATGGTTTGTTACCTCTGTGTTTATTAAAGTCGTACTACAAATCTGAACTCCACCGCTGGCAATCGCTGTCCGTGCCCCGCCGCTTCGAGGCGGCCGAAAGGTATGTGACGGTGCCGAACGCGGACGTCTTCGTTATTTGTGACATGGGCGCCGTGGTACGTATAATTTCGCCCGGTCTGTGTCGCGTGTTACTTCTGCAGCTAAGCAGTGACAGTCGTCACTGGTCGTCGGAAAGATTAGCCGGCTGAGGCGTTGGTGGGACTGGTCAAGTTGGAGCAGCGGCCATTCTGTACGGCGGAGGGAGAAGGGCTGGGAAGGGGTGTGGGGGAGGTCGCTCTAAAAATGCAAGTTTATCTTCCCCTCGTCGATTCGGAGCTGGTCCCACGGAGCGGAATTTTGCCTCCCTCGCGGATTTTGGAAAGCGCTCCAGATCTACGAGTGGAATTCACCATTAGTTCACCCAGATTAGTTCTGAGTTCGCACGCTACCGCTTCGATAGCACATGCAGGGCTGATGTCCTCCCCGCTTAAGCTGATTAACAGATTTTCGTTTGACCTTGCTCGAGTGCCTTAATGCGTTGCCTCGTCAAAGCTCGTGACGAGAGAACTCACTGGAACTCTGGCGTAGTCTCTCCAGGTAGCCCTAAACTCTTCCCATCTGCAGATATGTATTTACAATTTTAGTTCACATCATTCCATTACCGTGCGCTTCAAAAAATGCTAACAATGTTATAAGCGACCCGTTTTTCTTAGAGACTTTGAAGAAAACTTGATATTGCAAATAGTGCAAAACCTCTAGTTTGGTCATCAACGGATTGGAATGTTTCGACTCTGCTTAATAAATGGAGTCAGTGTACTGATGATCTTCAACGTTGTAGGCGATTATAAAGGAACGCAACGCACTCGAACACGCTCAAACACAATTATTTAAAACAGCCTTTAATTTTTTTTATTTTAATGTCCAGTTCCCCTTCTATGTTTATGGGTTGCTTCCTGTTCATTTAAGAGGACAGTATGACCAGTATTTGCCCCTCTTTTTCTGTACTTCAACAAAACCTCTCCGAACGTAATCTGTAAACATTTCGAAGCCATTCTTCGAGACACCTAAAATGTTATTCCTCGGGCGTAATTATGTTCAAGTGTATTGATCCAGCCTAATCGTCAGAATGCAGTCACCGTATGAAACACCTTGTTAGAAAAAAAGCTATGATTGTCTAGACAAAAAAAATAGGTCTTAAGCTTGTCGGTGATTCAAAAAACGGAACTTTTAAGGATTTATTTACTTTTAGACTATTATCAACGAAGGTGCAAAAAAACGTCGAGTAAAAAAAAAAAAGACAAAAGCTCCATTTTCATAATGATACTCTTTGATAGTGGTTTCTTCGCATACTTGGACACTTTCTACAGCGATGGATTTGTGCCAACAAAATGCGTGGAATGCCTTAGAGCATTAATAGTCACCTCAGCAATTGTAGCATGATGTGTGGCCTCCCACAGCCAATGTGGCGACTAAAATGGGATCTAAAAAAAAAAAAAACGCATAAATTTTAAACAATATATGCAGCAGCCTCGAAGTACAGAAGCCACCGTAGTGAAAGGACGCCTAAACCCTATATTCTGCTTTTGAGCTTTATTTATTTATTTAGTTTTGTTTAGAACGAATAGTTGTTGCGATTAATTTCGCGTCAGCTGCCAAGTACGCACAGAAATGAAACTCCTATTCCGCCAGGCTCCACAACAGCCTTGAACAACAGCAATTTGAAAGGAAAGAGCTGTGCAGAACCAAGACGACAGGCAGTATATTGGTTTCGGACTTCTAATCGAAAAATCTAGAGATCTCATACTCATGCTTTCAGTAACTTTTTTTCCTCCCAGAAGCTGCATGTAAATGCTTTCGTACCCATCTTTCTATCCCTCTCATTGGCGGTCGCTATTTCTTTGGCACCAAGCCCCTGTTTGGAACCGAGCCCTCGTCGCACGTTCACGCAGCACTCGTTTTTGATCGATTTCTTATAAATTCCAGCAGGTGTAAATTGCGGAATTCTAGGCCAATATTATCTGTTCTGCTTTCTAGGCAGGAAGCAGGGTAAAAATAAACTGTCATGTGTCTGCTCACAAAAAACAAAAACAAAAACAAAAAACAGTATTTGTTAGCGTTTGTTTATTCGCTTGCTGCTCAATTTATCCATTTCGCATTACTGCATTTTAATTCGTTCTCAATTATTGAGGACCTAATCGCGTCCGAAACATGCGATTTCAGATTGCGAGCTTTTGGTTGCAAGAAAGACTTCTATTAACATGTATATTACGCCATGCCACTCGATTTATCGGATATACTGCGGGTATGGACGGCCAAAACGAGGTACGTAAACTTATTAAAATAATAGAATTAAATAATTTCAGACGCAACAAACCATTCTACTATATGAGTTGCTTACTTTAGTTGCATGCAGATTGAGAACAACAGAAGGGAGCTACAGTTGGCTCACCACCGGCGCGCTCCTCCTGCTTTCGACGGTACTTCGGCGTCTCGTGAGCCTCGATTGTGCTTGCGCAGTTCAAAGCACGGTGGAAGGCAGCCAGGTAGCGCTGGAGAGCAGTGTTGCGGAGTTGCCACTCCGGAGTTGGAATGATTCCGGAATCATTCCGCATTTTCACGACCCCGGAATGGAATGGGAATGGAATGGCGGCAACGTTGAGGGGAATGGAATGGGAATGGAATTAGGTGCCTTTTGCCCGGAATGGAATGGGAATGGAATGGGCACGGTTCTTTCTTTTTTTTAGAGTTTACGGTCAGCTAAATTGAACCAGTCAGTGAGTCAGTTGCTCAGAAATAAAATGAGCGGGAAACTGCTAGCCCGCGAGGAGCCCTAACAGACTTATACGCCAAAAAAAAAGCATTACAAAAAACAAGCGTCAAAGCAAAGAGCAAAGAGGGAAAGGGGGGTAACGTGGCACCTTTCACGGACGCGCAGGCGTCGGGCTTCGATGGCGTTACACGAAAGCGAAACAAGAAACCAAGCAAAAGAAAAGGGAGCGGCAAAGAAAGAAACCGCCATGCATAACTCCTCATCGTACTTCTTGTCATGTTTTTTTTTTTTGTTGTTGCGACGGTTTGTAGAATGCACGCGCGCGCACAGACTGAGATCTGGGAGCGGAAGCGACTCATAACTCGCAGAGCTCTGATAACTCGTTCACTCGGGCGCCGTCGAAAGATGATCAGGTATTGTTTTCTAATAGTTCGAGGCGCGTTGTTTAGCAGGCAGCCAACCCTGCTGCCTCCCACGTTTATTCGTGCGCACTCCTTTGAAGTGCGATATGTGGGCTTGCTTCGGCATTAAAACCAAAGCGAGATTCGATCAGTTCCCTCTTCTCCTCTTGCGCTTTGCTCCGAGGCTTGTTTTTTTGTACTGCATTTGTAGTGTATGTCCGCCAATTACTTGGTCTTTGTTCCGATGCTTGTTTTATGTGCTATATGCTTTAGTGGGTTGGAGTTACAAGCAAGCTAGCGGATTCCCGCTCATTTCCTGTGACTTTAGTCTCTGCATACTTCGTTTCGCCTTGCGATGGACCGCTGCGGACGCTACGAGTCACCCTAGGCAATCCAGCACCGTGAGCGGGACTGCAGGGTCACGCGACACTCAGAAAGCACTGGATTGGTTTCGATGGCTCTCGTGCTGTCTGTTGAGGTCCATCGTAAGGTGAAGTAGACCTTCGTCGCCGCTCTTGGTGGGACCGAACTGACTAGACCTGCAGAAAGACCGTCCCGCGCCATACGAGGCGCGACCGTTGCTGTGAGGGCAACTGAGAAGGAGAGCTGGGTACTAGCTGTCACTGAGGTTTTGGCTTTCGCGCGTCTCGGCTGTCCGGTCTACATTCGTGCTCCTTGTCCTGGACCCTATTTGAGGCGGTGAGAAGTCAGTTGGACGGTGTTGATGAGGATACACGGGGAATGTCAATTCGAACGGTGCGGTATTACCCCGTTAATTGCATCTTGATGTGAAGAGCTTTGTCAACGCTGACTTCCCGACCCGTCGCCACTACGCGAACAACCGACATTGAGGTAGAAGAATGAATCGGTTGGTACCGTCTGCAGCCTGAACCCGCCTCCCGATCAGCGCGAAGAGGAACATCACAATTCGGACGAGAAGACAAGATAAATACATATCAAGTCATGGCATCGTAGAAGACATTTTTCTTCATTAGTCGCGAAGAAAATAAACAAGCTGCTCGCTGAAAGTTGTGCAACGAAACTATACACGGTGCAGTTGGCGTATATCATCGAACTTTATTCGCCATCTGAAGAGGAAACACGAGAATGAGTATGCGAAGGGCGGAAAAGGGCAGGCGAACCAGCCAAAAATTGAATTGAATATGATCAGAAATATCGAGATTCGTAAAGCAAGCGTGAACTTATGCGTTTTGAAACAGGTTTCGTGACATGGTCTATACGGTCCCTCGTGCTGCGCCGCAGAGGTTGCATTTTGTCAGAGGATGCGTTCTGCCGCTGTGCATGGAGTCGCTTCCAGCAGTGTACTAGCCGTGTTGCTGTATTTGAAGAATACAGTAATATAGCTTATTCCTGCGCCAGGCACGAACTGGATATTTTTTATGGTCTTATCAAACAAACACGCTGGCCGCGTATGTCTTAAAAGTCAAATGCAAAAAAGTTAAGAAAAGAAAATGAGTGAATTTTAGTTTTGCTGTTTGTTGCGAGCCACGTGGTCGTGAGACCGATGTCTTAAACAAGCATCGACATATCAAGGGGCTTTCTCGATGTTTGCAGTACATTGTAAATAGGAACTTTCTGCCACCAGCGGTCCGCTTAGTAAAAATCAGTGCCTTTTTTTAGGAATTTCGTTTTTTTTTTCTTCTTTTTTTGCAATTGTCTCTGCATTTGATAATGTCAGCTTTATGCTGCTTATGCCGGCAGCAAAATGTAGCTGTCAAGTGCCAATTTTTACGTTTAGGAAATAAAGGAATGGAATCGAACGATTCAGCCATTCCAGGAGTGGGAATGGGCTCAGTGTCTCCATTCCTAGGAATTGAAAGGAATGGAATTATCGCAAACTCTAATTCCCCGGAATGGAATTGGAATGGAATGGGGGTGCCCATTCCGCAACACTGGCCGAGACGGTTGGCGTGCGATCCGAACCCTTCTCGCACGTTCGACCGAAACCGGAGAAGCGTTTTTCTTGGGCCTCCACTCAAGGGCGTCAGAACCGACGTTCCCGTCGGTGTGCTTTGTCTACGGTGTCTGCCTTGCGTATGCCTTCCACGAGAACGTTGCCGTCGGTGTGTTCTGTCTACGGCGTCTGCATTCCATGGAGGCGTCTGCATTCTACGAGAACGCCAGACAGAATCCGACCCTGAAGCCTGAACAGATGGACACTCTGTTGTGTCTGCATCTGCAGCATGCAAGACAATCCCCTACGAGGCGCCCTCAATTCGGAGAAGCACAACGCCCGAGCATCCGGGGCGAGAGGAGGAGGCTGACGTCGAGGCCAACTTTGGAAGGCGGCACTAACCAACCAATGGCACGGGAGCTCCAGAACACCGATTTTATTATATAAGGACCTATTCGCTGCCCATTCGGTGCTCTCCGACGATGTAGAAACTTCTGTATATACGTAATTAAACAGAGTTAATCGTGAGAGACCCTTCCGTCTCCTGCTGATGTTCCTGCCAGGAGTCAGTTTGCGATCCCTGTCTTTGCCTGGCCCTGCCTGAGGCTGCCTCGGGAACTCCTCGGTCGCAACAACAGACAGTACGTAAATCAGCCAGGCCATTGGTATTAAACTGTCTTCATAACAAACCCACTGCCGGTCATCTTGGCTTATTAAAAACATATAGTCGTGTACGTAAAGGTTCCTTTTGGCCTTGGGTGTACTTGTCCCTCCCCAGGTACGTACAATCCTGCACGCGGTGTCAACAACGCAAAGTTACATTCGTCTTCCCTTGGACAAATGCTGCCGATTATACTTGTCCCTCTATTCCTTTTGAAATGTTGGGCATTCATTTCTTTGGGCCGCTGCAATAAAATGGTTCTGGAAATCGGCGAATTTTTATGGCAATTGGCCACCTCACGCGTTTCGCCGACACTACCACCATCCCGTCATGCAGCGCCGCCGAGGTTGCCCAGTTCTTTATATCAAACATATTTCTCCGACATGGCGCCCCGCACATATTGCTCAGTGACCGGGGCAGGACCTTTCTTTCTAACACCATCAAAAAGGTTTTCGCGGCCTGCCATGTCCTGCATAAAACTATGTCTTCTTACCACCAGCAGACAAATAGCCTCACGGAGCGCTTTCACTGTACATTGGCCGAGATGGTGTCTATGTACGTTTCCAAGGACCACAAGAATTGGGATGTTATCTTGCCATTCGTGACGTTTGCCTATAATACGGCTGTCCAAAATACAACAGGATATTTCCCGTACCATCTCGTGTACGCCAGAAAGCCGAAATCATTCGTGGACAGAGTCCTACAACTTACGCCCACAACCCATTGTAATATCCTACACTCAAATATTTCTCGCGACGAACATTTTCGCCACCTTGTACGGTTAGGCACGACAGCACTACAACTCCGCAAGTTATGGCACGATTCTCTAATTGCTTGAGATACTTATGACCCAGGAGACGTCGTCCGGGTTCATCTACCGTTGCGTCAGCCAAGTTACTCTGAGAAGCTGTTGCACAAATGCATTGGCCCTACCGAGTCTTCGAGGAAATATCACGTTTGATCTCCCTCGTGGAACCTAGCGACCGTCGGCGCCGCGGTCGGGAAGTTCTGCATGAGTCGTGGCTAAAACATTTCGTGTCATGCACTCCAGATCTCACCATACAACCACGTGGCCCGGAGGCCACTCATTCTATTCCAAAAAAGGGAAAGTTGTTAAGATTTATTGTTTGCAATGTCATTGTAATCACCAAAGCATTATGCTCATAGACTATAAATTCATTATCGTGCTGACCAAGCGACAGGACGCTCGCTCTCAGACGTTCGATCTAAGCGGCTGCGGTTGAAACAAAAACCCAGCGTCCTTGGTACACCTATCTCCCTTTTGCTCTATTCTTGCTATCAATATATATATATATATTCTGACGAAGACGGACTGTTTTGTTTTTTATGTCCGTTTAGTGCCCGTTTAGTGGCCCTGATGAAGGCCGGACTCCGGCCGAAACGTCGAAGAATAAATCGGCTGTTGTTGCTGTTTTCACTAAGGAATTTTTCTGCTCAGTTATATATCCACGCCTTCGGCCTCCCGCCACCATGCCCGTTATATATATATATATATATATATATATATATGTATAGGTGAGGCAGAGTAGCCTGAGAACAATGGACCGGGAAAATGTAATAAGTCAAAGATCCGTACTTGCGGAGTTGCTATGCTAGGAGTTTATTGGATATATTTCGACAGTTTCGCCAAAAGGCTCGGCTTCGTCAGGAGATGGCTTTTGGCGAAACTGTCGAAATATATCCAATAAACTCCTAGCATAGCAACTCCGCAAGTGCGGATCTCTGAATTATATATATATATATATATATATAGATTAAGTCGTCCGTTGTTGCTGTTTTTCACTAAGGGTTTTTTTCTTCTCAGTTTTATACCCACGCCTTCGGCCTCCCGCCACCATGCCCGTTATATATATATATATATATATATATATATATATATATATATATATATATATATATATATATATATATAGGTGAGGCAGAGTAGCTTGAGAACAATGGACCGGGAAAATGTAATAAGTCAAAGATCCGTACTTGCGGAGTTGCTATGCTAGGAGTTTATTGGATATATTTCGACAGTTTCGCCAAAAGGCTCGGCTTCGTCAGGAGATGGCTTTTGGCGAAACTGTCGAAATATATCCAATAAACTCCTAGCATAGCACCTCCGCAAGTACGGATCTCTGAATTATATATATATATATATATATATATATATATTAAGTCGTCCGTTGTTGCTGTTTTTCACTAAGGGTTTTTTTCTTCTCAGTTTTATACCCACGCCTTTGGCCTCCCGCCACCATGCCCGTTATATATATATATATATATACATATATATATATATATATATATATATATATATATATATATATATATAGGCAAAAGTAAGGTGCGCAGACACAGTACCCGCAGGCTGACAAAAATAGAAATCTGGTTTAATATCGAAAAAGGTCACACAAGAAAAAAAGAGTAAAGTATGACGAAAAAAAGTTGTATTAAAAGAGTAATCAAGGTTAGACACAAGAACGCTCGATATGCGAATAATGCACTTTGAAATAGCGGAATAAAACTCAAAGTTTAACCCAAGAACTTGCAAAAATAAATTGTTAAATTGAAAATAAAATAAATAATTAAAAATAAAAAAGGGGCCCGACATCCGTCGGTGTTTCGACAGTGGCACTGTCTTCCTCAGAACGTCCTCAAGAAGACGGTGCCACTGTCCAAACGCCGATGGACGTCAGGCCCCTTTCTTTTTTTCTACTTTTAATTCTTTATTTTATATTCCAGTTAACAATTTATTTGTGTGAGTTCTAGTGTTTAACTTCGATTTCTATTCCGCTATTTTTAAGTGCATTGTCCGCCTTTCTAGCGTGCTTGCGTCTATCCTTGCTTGTTCTTGTAAATTAAAACAACTTTTTTCTCGACTTTACTTTTATTTGTGTAATTATTTCTTAATTCGCCATTATTTCTTATTCTTATTTTGATCGTTTTGAGGGTTCTGTGTCTGCGCACCTTACTTTTACCAATATTCTGACCTTACTTTTACCAATATTCTATACAAAGATATTCTGACGAAGACGGACTGTTTCGTTTTATATGTCCGTGTAGTGGCCGTTCAAAAGCACGTAATGTCCCGCGTTCCCCGCGCGAATCCGAGCACCCCACGGGCCCCAACGAAAATCGGTGATGATGATGATGCAAAAAGAGGAATTGATGACACTGTCCAGTTTGGGTCGTCACATTATATATATATATATATATATAAACTGAAAAAAAAGAAAAAAAAAAACCTTGGTGAAAACGGCAACAACGGACGATATATTCTTCGACGTTTCGGCCGGAGTCCGGCCTTCGCCAGGAAGATATATATATATATATATATATATAAACAGACTCAGGACACACTATTGCACATTAAGAAAAACAGAAAATTAGAGGTCAGTAAGTAGCTATAGCGAATCGCTGAACATGCGGCGGAACGCAAAGGCCGATACACATATACGACGAGATTCGGAGTTGCGATGGTGTTATACAGCGTCAGTATCCGAGAAAGTGCCAATATTTTGCATGATGGAAAAAAATAAGAACGCATAAAATGTATTGTAGAACGGAAATTGACATGAAAATCAAGTTTGAAGAACGGCTCAGCCAAGTCCATTTCACTCTTCGCAATCTTGTGTAGAAAAAAAAACTATTGTTGCGAATAATGTTACTAGATCGGTTCAGCTCCTCCAAATATATCACTATTCGGAGGAGGTGAGCCGAGAGGCACATCATTTTAGATAATTTATAGTAAATAAACAGAACTAATTTATGTTTCTTTAACTAGATGCATGGCCGAACCCCGTCAATTCCTCAAGTGATTCTGACTTTTTAGTGGAAGCGCATACACTTCGGATGTTAATAGTACACATAGATCCTTTACAAGAGGACACGATCTTCATGAATGAATTTCAGCTGATCACGGAGGTAAACCGCCTTTTTTGCTTGAACCTATTTCATTTGAAGTGAATTAATTCTTATGCAACATCAAATAATCTGGCTTCTAAGTTACCAACGTGAGATCTTGGGCACTTTCTTCCTCATGTTAGATGCTTCCTGGTGGTATAAGGTATTCAAGTTAATGAACACTCTAAAAATATTAGAGATACAGCAAAAATACAGTCACATGCGTGCTTGTGTTTTTGATCGTAAACACGAGTTACAGAGCTTTGTCTTTCTAAAGTTATAAACATAGGTTATAACACGTTCGGGTTTTTTTTTTCAAAAAGAAAGTGTGTTCGATACCAAAACATGAATAAAAAATCCACTCAATATCGATTCATACTTACTGTGAATGGCCAAATTTTACAATTTGAGACAAAAATTATGTCTGCAATACCAATGCGCTTCCTAAAAATGATCATTCTTGTTTCCTATTGGATACGTCATTCAATCTTTCAGGTTTTGTACAACATCCCAGAGGCCAACCTATACGCCTCAACTTCCAAAGATGCAAAGAATAAAAGGCTGTGCGGAATACAAATTTACAAGATAATGCCTGATTTCGCAACCTTGGAGGCTCGAGCGATGATCCTTAGAGAAAAGTAAGCAGGAGTACAGTTTGTTTGATTGACGAGTACAATTTGTTGTTTGACCTTTGATGAGAACAGTTTTGTTTGTTTTACCTCTAAAACCTCCTAAATAAATGCAGGTATTTTTTTCTTGAACAATGCTTAGAGTATGGTGAGAAGGCACACTTCGTAAAAGTTTCAAAGCAAGAAAGTAAATATAAAGAAAAGATTAATATGCAATCGAAAGCAGAAGGTCCACTCGGAGGAAGTCACGACAAAAAGCGCGAAAACCAGGTGGTTTGTTTTTCGACCCGCGATCAGGGGTTCAAGTTTCCTTTAAATCAAAGTAGTTTCGGCGCATTAGTGGCCACAGAAAATACGGGTTTTGGATTCGCTTTAATTTTTAGTATAAAAATGGTACCGGGACAACTTAATTCTTCTGAAATAGTTAAAGTTATGTGATGTAATCACACGTAACCGCGAAAGAACATGACGTGAGGGACCCCCTTAAAGCAGGTTTCAGATATTTTCGAGCGAAAATTCATTTTTAACCGGAAAAAAACAGTTTCGACTGATAAACCTATTTCTAGCTGCAAATATTTTTTTTATCAATTCTAAGCATACCTATACGATGGTATCCTTGTAGCTACACAGACCTAAATACCTACTTTGCCAGAGGTTCTAAGAGTGTAACCACAATTAAAAACGTCACAAATTCAACACCTCAGTGGTTAGCTATCTTAACAGTTTGATCTATGGCTTGTAATTGGATTTCATATCGGTTAATTTGTCTAATGTCGCGACGAAGGGAATTGATAAAATACCGTGAATTTATAAACATAACGTAATAAAACATTACGTAGATTTGTAAAATAAAATTTTGCGAGCCTTCTAGCCGTAGTGACACGGGATTAGTTTGTTTCGATGGTTGCATTTACCCAGGTGCACGCCAGAGGAATGCCCAACTTGGGCAAAGTAAGGTGCCTAACTATACCCTTAGTTGGGCGATCATAGGGCATGCCAAAATTTGGCTCTTCTCTGGTACGTCAGAGGAGTGCCAAAGTTGATGCCATACTTGAGCCTTAACTGCCATAGTAAATCCTAATCTCGGAATTCGGGGCATGCCAAGGTTTGGCGTTTCTCTGGTTCGCCAGAGGAGTGCCAAAGTTGGTGCCATACTTGAGCCATAACTGCCATAGTTAGTCCTAATCTGGGAATTCGGATCATGCCAAGGTTTGGCGTTTCTCTGGTCCGCCAGAGGAGCGCCAAAGTTGGTGCCTGCCAGAACAACGCCTAATTTGGGTATTTCGGACACGCCAAAGTTTGGCGTTTCTTTGGTACGCCACACGAGTGCCGAAGTGTGCCATACTTGAGCCAAAACTACCAAACCAACGCCTAATTTCGGCATTTCGGCGAAGCCGAGTTTGGCTTTTCTCTGATCTGCCACAGGAGTGCCAAAGTAGTGCCATATTTGCGCCATAACTGCCAGAGCAACGCCAAATTTGGGTATTTCGGACATGCCAAACTTTGGCGTTGCTCTTGTCCGCCAGAGGAGCGCCAAAGTTGGTGCCATACTTCAGCCATAACTGCCAGTAAATCCTAATCTGGGAATTCGGGGCATGCCAAGGTCTGGCGTTTCTCTGGTCCGCCAGTAGAGCGCCAAAGTTGGTGCCACAATTCAGCCATAACTGCCAGAGCAACGCCCAATTTGGGTATTTCGGACATGCCAAAGCTTGGCGTTGCTCTGGTCCGCCAGAGGAGTGCCAAAGTTGGTGCCATACTTTAGCCATAACTACCATAGTAAATCCCGATCTGGGATTTCGGGGCACGCCAAGGTTTGGCGTTTCTCTGGTCCGCCAGAGGAGCGCAAAGTTGGTGCCATAATTCAGCCATAACTGCCAGAGCAACGCCTAATTTGGGTATTTCGGACACGCCAGCCAAAGTTTCGCGTTTCTTGGGTACGCCACAGGAGTGCCGAAGTGTGCCATACTTGAGCCGTAACTACCAAAGCAACGCCTAATTTCGGTATTTCGGCCACGCCGAGTTTGGCTTTTCTCTGGTGCGCCACAGTTCTGCTAAAGTGAGTGCCAGACTTGAGCCATAACTGCCACAGTAAATCTTAATTTGGCGATTCGGGCATGCCGAAGTTTGGCTCTTCTCTGGCTACCCACTAAAGTGCCAAATAAGTGCCAACAGCGGAAAAGAAAGCCGAGATTCCGGCCCAAGTTTCGAATATGTCTGGTGTGTCACAGAAGTGCTCTTTCACACGTCCCAGAAGAGAATTAAATTAAATAGGCGTTGGAAACACGATGGCAAGATGTCATCACCTCCGTTCCCAAGGCGCACGGCAATACTTTGCAGTATCGTGCCAGTGCCGGCCGAAAGTCGGTTCCAATATCGCTAAAAAGTCCAGTTTTGCACCACCGATTGATATCCGGCAGGTATTGCCGTACAGCTGTTTTGTGCCAGCCTAGCGTTCGCGCAATATTGCGCGAATACTCTACGATGCGTCGGCTCCGTGTTGGCCGAACGTCGTGCAAGTATGTGTACGTTGCTTATCATTTGTTGCATATCCAATCACATATACGGACAAACAAATTTTTTTCGATCGCTCCCAGAAGTTTATTAAACCATTATCATTACACACACTGTATTCTCCACATATTTACAAAGGTCACACTTCTCTCACTCGGTAAAACGAGAAGCAAATTATAAAATAGAATTAACACTGGCCTCATGCCAAGCAAAACTTACCACACAAAAAACCGCGGAGATGGAGAGGAAAGCAGGACGACTATCAGAAGCATGCTTTCTGTGTACTTACTAATAAAAGAGCAATATCATGTAATCCTTGATGGATGCATAATCCAACTCAGGCACCCCACAAACAAATTCGAGAAAGAAGGTTGCGCACATTCAACTGACGTCTCGTCGTCGGCGAAGAGCAGTTTTTGTCGAAGCGTGTCCAACAAACAAATCGCAAGAATTCCACGAACGCCGGTGAAAAAAAAAAAGGCTGTTACCGAAGAACTGGCATGGACGTATTCCGACCGTTTACGATGAAAAAACACGGCCGCGTCTGCAACGCACGAAAGCAGCAGAACACTGAAGAGCGCAGTTCGAAAACCGGACCTACATGACCCGCCTATTTCTATAACTAGGCAAACGGCGAAAACAACAGCCCCAGAAATCCCATCAGCGTGACAGAGAAAGTCACGTGACAAATTTTCGTCCAAACGTTTTTGTCCTACGCGTCCTACGTAGAGAGGTCGCGCCGGGTCACGCGTTTCGCTCCACCCTTTTGATCTGCTTAAAGCGGCTGTCGCGCTCGCTGACCCACACGAAGACACAAAAGCAGGTGAGGAGGATTTGCAAAAGGCGAGGCCACTTCTGCCGGTGACCTTGTCACTTTGCCTAGTCTGTCAGCGTTCGGCTTCCATTCTGAGCCTCAGAAAGATAATCTCCTTTCTTGGTGCTTATGTTTTGCGGGCTGTCGCCATCCGATAGGCCTCAATTATTTCTCTCCCGACTCGCTCGCAGTGGCCTTCCATGGCTGTCGTGCCGGCGAAATTAGGAGCGCAGCCGGGACATTTTTTTCCCGTGTATGACGATCGGGTGCTTAGAATCCGAAGCAGCTCTTTCGGCGTCCATTTGATGTTCTCGGAGTCGGTTGTTGAGGCATCGCCCCGTTTGCTTGATGTACCTGCCCCGCAGGACAGGGGGATCGCGTACACTTCCTCCGCTTCCTCTCCTTCCCCCAAGATTCTTCTTTCCCGTACTTGATCGGAGCGGGCGGGCTTTGAGCTTGAAGCCGAAAATAAATGTTGTTGAAGTTGAAAGATTGTCCCGTCTGTATCGTCCCTTATGTGTCTCCACTTCCTAAATGTTTAACAAGTACCAACACGCTAAAATAGTACAAGTTCCGGGATTTCATTATCATTCCCCAAGTGTGATGCGGGAACCGCGCTACGGAGCCCCGGTCGTTTCCGCTCTTTGTTATCCCTAGGATTTGACACTGCTCAATCACAATGCAAGACACGCACAGGCCCACGCTCGCTTTTGCAATGCGCCGCCTAATAATGATATCTCTTCTGGAGACGTGCGCACATCAGTCTCGCGCAGTGCTTGCTCAATGGCAGCACTTTCTGTAAAGGTGGATTCACACCGGGGATGTATGCAGTCGCGCGATCCGACTAAATCGCATTGCGAAAAAAAAGTAATTAGGTGGTCAATCTGGCGTGCGCGATGAGCGAGTTGAACGCCTTCGTTGGCGAGTCGCTTCTCAAAAACTCTCGCTCCGAACGCCGTTGATTGGCTCGGTCTCTCCGCGACTAGAGCGCATCGCAAAAAGTCGGGTCAGCAAGCGACTGCTCAGATTCCGTCGTTTTTTGCCCGCGATGGTCGCTTTTGCGGTGAAAGTTATGGCGCGACTATATCGCATCGCCGGTGTGAACGCGCCTTAATGTCGAACCAGTCTCACGGCGCGTCCCGATATTGGCGTGTCTATCTACGCGCGAGTACAGCATCCGGCACAATTTGCGTTTGCAAAGCCTCGTCCAGCCGGGTCAGAACATTCAGGCAACCTTTAGACTGGAGAAATCAAGAGACACCCAAAGTAAGATAAAGTTGCCAGCCTAATCAAACTTGATTTCTATTTAATTAAGATGAAGACCACCCGCGTACATAAAATACCTCATCAGCCGAACTCCAAGACAGTAAGCCTAGTTCTGGCACTTGTTTGGCAACTTTGGCCCGTAACTGCCAGATGACAGCCGAACAATCGGGAAGCGAAGCCTAACTTTGGCACTTGTTTGGCGACTTTGGCCCGTAGCTGCCAGATGACAGCAGAACTATCGGGAAGCGAAGCCTAACTTTGGCACCTGCTTGGCGACTTTGGCCCGTAGCTGCCAGATGACAGCCGAACTATCGGGAAGCGAAGCCTAACTTTGGCACCTGCCTGGCAACTTTGGCCCGTAGCTGCCAGATGACAGCCGAGCTATCGGGAAGCGAAGCCTAACTTTGGCACCTGCCTG